ATATTACTCCTAACATTTGGGTGTTTATCTTTTATATTCTTTAAAAAGAAAATAATCTATTTATATACTGTTGAATTATATAATATATGTCAATAAATCTATTGGTAGAGAATTGAAATCTTAATTTCTAATTTAATCATAGACACCTTCAAATAAAAAAAAAAGTTTAAATTATATTAGGATGATCCTAAAAATTTAGTTTTTAGGCATCAACTAGAAACATGCCACAAATAATTATTTAGAAGCTTTTCACGAATATTATAAACTTACCAACATCAAACTAATTCTCATTTTAAATCTTAATACTAGTTAACTTATTTAAAAATAATTAATGAAATAAAATTAAAAAGAAATTAGGAAAACTTAAATCGCTTTCTCACATTTTCATCTAGAAGAATCGAACATGGTTAGCACCTTAAAATCTTATGTTCAAACAAATCATCAATTTCATTTTTTATTTATTATTAAAATAGTAAAAGATTTTAATATTAATAATTTAATATTATTAAGTATATTTTTAATTAAATTAACAAATATTATTTAATTAAAACATAATAAGCAAATCAACCTTGATAGAAACTTTAAAAATTTTATTCAATATTCGATTAAGTGGAGACTAGTAGATGATTTGATATATATAGATAAGTTTAATAACAAGGTATCATAGAATCATTTACACTATTTTATAAGATAATGTCTTTACGGTGGTAAATAATAGAAACAAATTATTCAATTGCAATCGAATATATTGCTCATAAAAAAAAAGGACCATTCATTTACTCCAATGATCAAGATTTGTAGGACAAGAGAAAAGTAAATGCATCAGCATCTATCAATTGTAATTAATTAAATTGCATATTGAAGGAAACTTTGGCAAGTGAAGTCAAGGCCTTCTATTTCTCTTTCTTTCTCAGTCTCATTAGTTGTAAATTCTACTATATATTGACAATTTTATATTTTTAGTGATAAAAAAACATTTTGTTAGAATATATTCTTCGAAATGACACTTGAAAAAACTAGTCATTAACATCACACTTCCCTATTTTTCTATAACGTGATGGAAACATTAGAGAAAAATTATGCAATGAGACAATTAGTATTTTGTTTAGCGTGTCAAACCAAGTATAAGACCTTATTTTCCACAAAACTAAAACTTTCTTCACGCTACATACTCCATGTAGTTGTGTTATTAGAAATTTTTAAATATTTGAATATCTAAATTTAAACTAAATCGAATAAGAAAAAAATCAATCCTAATCCAATATTATATTTTTGAATCAATTTTTATTTTTTAATTTTTATCTCATCCTACAAGTTGGCTTCTTTCTGTTCTTTTATGAGGAACGATGATGAAATCCTCATGGCTATGCTGAAATGGTTCCTATATGGCTATCAGGAGAAGAGTTTTGGCATTGGCAAAATATCAGGAATTAAATCTAAAAGGTATAAAGACGGATTACATTTGAGAAAAGCAAATGCATCAACATCAGTCGTAATTAATTAAACTGTAAATTGAAGGAAATTATCTTTGGCAAGTCCTGTCAAGATCATCTTTCTCTCATCGTTGATAAATTTCACTATTTTTCGAATTGACATTTGAATGAACTAATGATTAACATCACTCTCTCTCGAACGTAGCCGAAACGTTATAGAAAAAATTTGCAATCAAACAAGTAATATTTTCTTTAGCGTGCAAAAACAAGCAGATAAGAACTTATTTTCCACAAAACTAAAATCTTTGTTCACACTACAAACTAGACAATAGAAACTCATTGTCCAGCAAATTTGAGTTAATTTCACCAATTACTTTCTATAAGGGCCACCCAACATCATTAAATGCATGACTTGAATTGCATGTTTTGACCCCAAACCCAATTTCGGTGCGAAAAGGAGCTAGCTCATCACCGAATTGGGCTTTTACTAATTGGCTTCCATTTTACTATTTTATTTTTTAAAATTTTATGCCATTTAATTTCTAATTACCAACATGAATTAAATTTATTATTTTTAAAACATAAAATAATGCATTGAATAAAAAGAAAAAAATAACGAAAATAATAAATTGAATAGTGAAAATTTATTTTATTTTAATTTTTTTAAAATTCAATATTTTATATTTATTGTTTTGGATTCATTATTATTCTTATTCTTTTAAAAATTTATATTTTAGAATTAATATTTTGTTTTATTATTGCTGTTGTTATGTTTTATAAGTATTATTAAAGTTAATTACCATATTATTCACTTTAAAATTATTTTTCATAAATAACTTTTTAAAAAAATGTCCCATGCAACATGAGGGCATCATTCTAGTATATATTAAAGTTTAAATTCTTTTCCTTAATTAATATCTCAATTAATTTTTTACAATTAAAATTTTATAATTTATCACTATGTTATTGATAGACAAATCCAAACTTTTGGTATTCATAGTTTAAGAATTTATATATACATATATATTCCATTTAATTAACGTGGATATGAAGGTAATGTCAATGTCAAGATTCCCTCAACCAATGAAATATTTGATGTTATATAGTCTCGTAGACTTAAAATTAGACATCGACTGGAACTCGCAATAAAAGTTTCTTCTTTCTATGAAGAAATAGAATGTAGCAAGAAGCTACATGGAAAGGGCGGAAAGAATTTTTTAACCCAAACTCCACGATCTTATGTAAAGTCACACTTTGAGCTAAAGTATTAATTACAAAATAACAAAATGAAAACCCAAGCAGCAGTTAGAGCCCTAGCCAATTTGTCCGTTTTGATTATATTTATTACTTCCTTTGTCTATTGTTTTTTATTCATCTTTTCCTTTTTGGAATGTTCTAAAATTATGTTTTATTTTATTTTTTGAACATCTAAAACACTTACTTTTTATATTTTAAAATTATTTTTTATTTTTTATTTTACTTTTTGATATTAAACATCATGAAACTTTAATTTTATAAAATAATTTAAATTTTAATATTAAATACATTAAAATCAAAACTTATTTCTTAAACTCCATAAAAGTCAATAGATAACAAACATTTTGGGACGAAGGAAGTATTAAATATCAAATTATATTGAAAGCAAAATAAATTTTCTTTAAAACAAAAAATAAATTTGCACTAAAATTCAAGTAAATAATCTTTAAAAGAATATATAGATATTTTTTGAGAAATTGTAAATAACAATTTTAAGCAAATTCGATTTAAAATACATACTTAAAATTTTTATCATTTCAAAACATCAACCAATTTAAGGCTAACATTATTAATTAAGGAAGAAATATTTAAGTTAATGAACTATCAAAGGCACACACACACACACACACACACATATATATATATATATATCGTTTGCTATATATTGGCACTTTTAAAGTTTATAGTTTTTAATATAGTATAGATAAATATAGAATAGTAAAATCTTATAAAGCAAATAACATTAACCCAATGAAAGTACCTAATATATTCAAGATTTTCTCTCCCCTTCAAACTTCTAGAAATGTATAAAAAATGGAATTAACAAAGTGGTCTTACATTTTTCTTTTGGTGTTTATGCAAGCCTATAGCATTTGACTTACAAAATCTAAGTAATTTACTCTCATTTTAGGTATTACTCTTAATATTTTCTTTCTAAAATTTAAATTTGAGACTTTCAAGTTAAATATGTTGTCCTTGAGTCAGTATCTTATATATTATGAATATGATCATATATATTGGATGCAATGTTGTAAGGTGAATAGGACAATACCACCTCATTAATGAATAAATTTTTAAAAATATATATTAATTTTTGTATATTTTATTTTATGAACTGATATTTATTCATTAATAAATTAACATCATCTTATTCAGTTACAATATATAGAATCTATATACTAATGCATTAAATATAAACCCAAAATGAAATTACATATAGTAAAATAAAAGAATTTGATGAAACCAACAAAAACATAAAAGTAAAATTGTAAACTTTTATTATGCTAGAAGTTATAATATCATTATTCATTTCTGAACCAATTTTTTTTAATACGTTAAAAGCTCGAATTTATAAAGAAATATGAAAAGAAAAAAAAAACTCTTAGTTGACAAATCAAAATATTTTGTGTTCATACCTTAAGAATCTAAATATACAAATTTATATAAATATATATTTATATATTCCAACTGATTATAGTGGATATGAAGGCAATGTCAATTTCAAGGTTGACGCCATTGTCAATATTTGATGTTATAGTCTTTTAGACTTAAAAAAAAATAGAAAGGTAGATATATTGACCGGAACTTGCAATAAGATTTTCTTCTTTCCATGAAGAAATAGTATGTACCAGGAAGCTACATGGAACATTAAGTGTGGAAATAATTTTTTTTTCTCTCATTTATTTTTCTTTTTATCAAATTAACTCAACTTTAACCATTAATTTTGAAAATATAATGTAATAATAAATTTTCAAAAATATATAATTTGAAAACTTTGGAATTCAAAATTTCAAGTCTTAGTTTTTAAAAATATATAGCATTATAATCTTCTGAAAAATAATAGTTAAAGTTGAGTTCATTTAATAAAAAAAGTCACTAAAAACAAATTAATTGAAATGGATAGAACATTAAACACCGAAACAAATTTGACATTGTACTATGGATTAATATTTAATTTTTTCCTTAAAATTTAATTCGTTGAATTTTGTCACAATACTTTTAATTTAGGTAATTTTTTAACAAAAATGAAGAAATTGAAATAATTCACGAAATAATTTATCTATGCAAACGACAAATCTGCTCAATGCACTGTCAATTAATGTTGATTTTGAATATATCAGTATGAAAATGACAAACTTTCATTAATTTCATCGCCTTATATTCAAAAGTCATTTTATAGGGATGGCTATTATTGCCTAACTCCTTGATTGGCTATATATATTAAGCTCGATGCAAGGCTTATTGTTATAAATTTATAAGTAGCAGTTGAGAGAGAATTGAAAATATAGAGATATAATAGAGAAAGAGATGATGGAACCCAAATGGTTGTGGTTGAGTGTGTTGTTGTTGTTGTTAGAAGGGTGCGGATGGCATGGTACTGATGCTTGTTGGGAGGATGAGAGGATTGCTCTCTTGCAACTCAAACCTTTCTTCAATCCTTTAAATTATCTGAACAGCTGGGAAGAGGAGGTAAAGGGTTCAGATTGCTGCCAATGGGAAAGGGTCGAGTGTAACGCCTACTCCTCCTCCAGGCGAGTCATAGGACTCTCTCTTAATTATACAAGATGGTCCTACAAAGAAAGATGGTATCTCAATGCCTCTTTGTTTCTTCCTTTCAAGGAATTGAAGCGTCTTTATTTGCCAGAGAATAACATCGCTGGTTTCGTTGAAAGTGGAGGTCCATTTTGCCCTTTCATTGCTAATTTGCAATATGAAAATTCATTCATAACTTTTTCATTTTTACAATCATATTTAATTCTATTATTGTTTTATTAAGGAAAAGCCATTAAGTCCTTATTATATATTTAAAAGAACTCTCTTGCAGGTTTTGGAAAGCTAAATTTGGAGATCCTCGATTTAAGTGACAATTACCTCAATGATACAATGTTATTATCTTTGAGTCGGCTTTCATCTCTCAAGGATTTAAATCTAGCAGGAAACTTGTTCACAGGATCAACTCATGCAAACGGTAGAGCTAAAATTAATCTAATAATTGTTATGAATGATATACAGTAATTAAAATATTAATCTGTCTTCGTTACAGGTTTCCAGTGGCTTTCAAGACTTAGTTATTTGGAAACTCTTGATTTAGGTTACAACGCATTGAAAAATAACATATTGTTTTATATGAATAGTCTTTCATCTTTAAGGACTTTAAGTTTAAGTGAAAATCACCTGGAAGCAACCCTTCATATTCACGGTAAACTTGTTTTACCTCTACTTTATGCTAAAGTCAATTGTTGTTTCAAGAAAAGCTCTTGCATTAATTATTTGATTTTATATATAGAATATAATTAATTACTTGTTGAGGTTGAATAGAATTGAATAATTTGACGAACTTGAAGAGCTTAGATTTAAGCTACAACAGAATTGAAAGCTTCCAACCATCAAAGCAAGGTATAAATATATATTTCAATTCACTCAACTAAAATCTTAATTACGTGATTAACGTATAAAATTTTTAATTGACAATAGCATATAATAGAATTATATATTTTTGTACAGGAAAAAAGACACAACTGAGGTTGACTAATTTGAAAGAACTTGATTTAAGCAGTAATCTCTTCAGGAACAGCATATTTTCCTTCCTGTGGGGGTTTTCAAGTCTAAAGTCCTTATACATGAGGCGGAACCAATTGCAAGGCTCAATAGATGTTAAAGGTAAAGCTTTTACAACCTTTGTTTTTTTTTTTTTTTTTAATTCCTTTTAGAAGCCTTAAACTCATAAAAAAAATTGTTTTTGCTAAGTCAAAGGTATTTATTAATTAATCAAAAAGTTACAAAGCCAGCATAAAGTTAATTCAGCAGAGCAAATAGATGTATGCATTCAAACCAAACTAACAAAACACCACCCAAAGCATATAACTGAAGACAAAACACCTAAAAGTTACACCACCTCACCCATAAGCCAATTAACCCCCCGACAAAAGCGAGCCATGTGTGTTTTCAATTTCTTGTATTGTCGGCATAGAATCACTCTCCACTATCACCTGCTCTGTACCCTGTTCAAAAGCTAGTTGCAGTCCCCAAAGGATCGCTCTTACCTCTGTATGAAGGGAACTTTCACTCCAGTCTACCCAAGTCACTGCTGAAAAAACCACGTTACTATTTGAATCTCTAAGAACAGCACCTAGCCCAGCTTTTTGTTCTCTGAACCTATACATTGCATCCACAACGAGCTTTAAAATATCCAGTACAGGAGGTTGCCAACTCTATCCTTGTGGCGTCCTCGTGATCATAGTTGGTTAGGCTACCAATTCTAGCCTTTCCCTACGCGGGCTGTCCTTACCAATGATTTCCACATAGCACATGTTACGTGATGGAGGCATTTTAATTACAATCCTCACATTGTAATTCTTATTGTGTTAATTATAATACCATAATTCTTCATATTTTTATGTTTGATTATATAATTACATTAATATTAACTTAACAAATATTATATTATTTTCAAAATGTGAAATGAAACCCAGTTAAGATTCTAATTGTACCTTTTGTCTCTTGGATAGTTGCAGTTGCTAATATTAAAACTTTTGGTTGCAAAATAACATTTCTTGTTCATACTATATGGTAGGACAAAAGCTATTAGCTTAAGAATCAACCTACACTTATTGGCCAAAAAAAAAAAAAATCAAGCTACACCTACTTAAGAAGGAGGATGTCACTTATTATACTGTCAGTCATTTCAAATTTTTGATTGGGATAAGAAATTCGAATCCAACTCTATGTAAGATAAAGACAACTAAACCAAGTGCTCAAGTGTGATACTTATTTAAGTGGGAAAATCGATACATGACTGAATTAGAAACAGTTGAGAAACCATTTTGTGGTTTTTCTTTTTATTTTTGTTTTCTGAAGTTTCCTAAGTATTTGTGTTAATGGATCAAGTCATGCAAACAATAGAGTTGAAATTAATCTAATAGTGATTATGAATGATATATAATAATTAAAATATTAATCTTTTTTTATTAAGGGCTTCCAATGTCTTTCAAGACTCAATAATTTGGAAACTCTTGATTTAGGATACAACTCTTTGAAAAATAACATATTGTTTCTTATTAATGGTCTTTTATTTTAAGGACTTTAAGTTTGATGAGAAATTACTTGAAAGGAATTATTTATATTCACGATAAACTTGCTTTACCTTTCTTTTACGTTCAAATCAATTGTTATTTCAGGAAAAGGTGTAGCATATCATTTGCTTTTATACATAATACTAATTACTTAATGGCATTGAATAGGATTGAATAATCTGACAAATTTGAAGAACTTGGATCTAAGCTCCAATAAAATTAAAAGCTTCCAACCATCAAGGCAAGGTATAAATACATATTTCAAGTCACTCAACTAAGTTCTTAATTATGTGATCAATGTATAAAATTTCCCATTAACAATGGCATATAATAGAAAGGAGATACAACTAAGAATGACCAATTTGGAGGTTCTTGATTTAAGCAATAATCTCTTCAAGAATGAAACTTTTGCATTCCTTTCTGGCCTTCCAAGTCTAAAGTCCCTGTATATGAGGGACAACCAATTGCAAAGCTCAATAGATATTCAAGGTAAAGCTACTACAGTTTTTTTTAAATTTTTTTAATTCTGTTTTGGAACCTTTTTGCTCATCAAATAGGTAAAATCTCATATCACGTTTGGGGATTTTTCCTCTTCACTTAAATCTTTAGATTTGTCTTGCCGTTTACTTCATTATAAAGTCATTAAAAATATTCAGTAAAAGATTATTTGAGTAACCAGGCTAACATAATGATTATTTGAATTGAACTTGGACATAGAATTGAATAATTTGATGAATTTGTAACCTTACAAGCTATGCATTTATATTTGCTCAATTAGTTAAGATGTTATATATAATTAAATATTATGTAAATATTTTTTTTACTGATGAAATTATGTAAACCTTATGTAGATAGTGGGAGACAGCTGAACTTGACCCATTTAGAAGAATTTGATTTGAGTTATAATCTCATGAATGACAGCATATTTGCATCACTTAGCGGGCTTTCAAATTTGAAGTCTTTGGATGTAAGCTCCAATCAGTTAAATGGATCAATATATATGAAAGGTAAAATTACTTTTTTTTTTTTTGCAAAAAATTTGAATTTGTTAACAAAAATCTTAATTCATGTTTCAAGATGATATAACAAATAAATTTATCTGTTTGTTTTCTTTAATGATGAAATTATGTAAATTATTTATAGATACTGAGAGACAGTTAAAATTGACCAATTTCTAATCGCTTGATCTAAGTCATAATCTAATTAATTATTACTTTTCAACCAAACTTTCAACTCTGTTATAAACACTTAAAAAAAAAAAACACATTTCGTGTTTTCAAATGATTTAATGAAGTTTATTTATTACTTTTTTTTCCAGACTTGAGTGCTTTTACCAACTTAGAGGAACTGGATATGAGCTATAATGATCTGAATGAATTTGTGGCTTGTAAAGGTATGGATTTAAATAAATTTTCCATTTTTATTTGTGAGGTTTATAATGATGCAGATGTTTTAACGATCAACAAATTTAGCATATTAAAATTTAATCTCAATTTTTTAAAGGAAGAAATTAATTTTTTATTATATACTTTTTACTACAATACTACTATTCTCTAATTATAATAAAGAATTATGTAAGAATCCACAATTTATAAGTGTGACCTCCACATAAAATTTTGTTAGACCTCATGCAATTTTGAATTATGATGTTTTAGTCGTATTACAATGATTGTAGGTGAATGGCTCTTATTAAAATTAATGCCCAACTTTTTAAAGGAAGAAATTCATTGTAATTTGATTACTAATTAGAAAATGATATATATTTGCCTTAGATAATTGCTTTCTTTAAGAAGTGTTGCAACGGCATATCAAATATTTGCCTTTTTGTTTGTATTACCTTGTTGTGTCTTAGAGTTGGACTTGTTTGCCTTTTGTCATTTTGTTTTAGATTACTACGTATTTTTATTACCGTTTAAAAAATTTTGACTTTTCATGTTACCGTTTTGTTTGATTTTCATCTTTTTGATTTTTTTGTATATTAAAATTTATATTAAAAATATTTAACGATTCAATATTCTTCTCTATTAAAAATTCATCTTGCATTAATCTTGAATATATAATCTTATCTACAAAAATGAAAATTTTCATTTATTTATTTTTTTCATTTACAGAGTATAAGAGTTTGAAAAAGTTAAAAGTTCTTCGTCTAGATGAGGTTTTCACCAATGGAAGCATTCCACGACTACTAAAATTAGTATATGCATTCCCATCAGTTAAGACCTTCTATCTACAACATAATAACTTAAACAAGACTATGGCTACTCAAGATCAAGGTAAGTCATTAATTTATTCCAAAAGAACGTAAATTAGTAGTTGTTTGTTGATTAACATCTAATAATACCTCCTATTCTATGATTACTCAGAATTGCATGTGTGGAGCAATGTGGAGGAAATATTTCTAGACGGTTCTTATCTCGACAACAACATTTTGCAAAGCATTGGAGTATTCACTTCTCTTAAAACTTTGTCTTTACATAACTGTGGACTTATGGGTTCCTTACCTAATCAAGGTAAATTAAAGACTTTATAATTTCTCTAATATAACTCATGGAATACATCTATTTCCAATAATCCTTTATTCTTTTTCTTTCATCTAATATCTTTTATATATATTCTGTTTTGGAAATCAAAATTTAATTAAAATTTCTTCCATGAATTTATAAAATTTTCAGGTTGGTGTGATCTAAGGAACCTTAAGAGTTTGGATATCAGTGGGAATGCACTTGAGGGGATACTTCCTTATTGTTTGGGTAATTTGACATCTCTTCTTGAGTTAGATATCTCCAACAATCAATTTACTGGAAATTTGACTCCTTTAGCAAATCTTTCATCACTTAGATTTGTCTCCCTTTTAAGAAATCGTTTGCAAATTTCAATGCCGTTCTTGTCACTTGCAAACCTTCCAAATCTCAAGTTTCTTTTGGCTGATGAAAACAAGATAGTAATGGAACCTAATTCCTTTCATACTTCAATTCCGAAGTTCCAACTAAACATCATCAGTTTGTCAGAGTGTATAACAGACATAGGACTTAGTCTACAACCTCCTAAGTTCCTTTATTACCAATATGACTTGAGATATGTTGATCTTTCCCATAACAATTTCAGTGGAACAGTCCCGTTATGGTTGCTAGAAAACAACACAAAATTAGAAAATCTCTTCTTGTTGGGTAATTCTTTCACTGGTCCTCTCTTGTTACCTCATCTTTTTCATCCTAATGTGTTTTTATTGACATATCTGAAAACAAATTACAAGGTCAAATTTCGACAAAATATATGTTCAAACTTTTCCAAATTTGGATAAGTTATTCTTATCTAAGAATGCTTCAAAAGGTAATATCCCTCATTGCTTAAGTGCAATGGACACTTTACAGTTTTAGACCTATCGGACAATCCATTTGTCTGGAAGCGTAACCAAGAAAGAATTGATCATGAAAAGCTCATTAAATATTCTTACGGCTATCAAATAACAACCTAAGTGGAAAGATTGTTCCTTTGATGTTCAACACAAAAAGCTTGTCAAAATTTTGTATTTGGATGGCAATAATTTGCTAGAGAGATACCTGATATTGATGTCTCTGCTACTGATTTTTTCACATTCATCACTAGACGAATATTGATCTCAGTAATAACAGTTTTAATGGAAGCTCCCAAAGCATGGATAGGGAATATATCGCATTGACAGAGATGGCTTGTCCAAACAATCATTTTGAAGGTTCTATTCCAATGGAATTTTGCAACTTGTTTGAGCTTGAATTTTTGGAGCTTTCTCAAAACAATTTATCTGGCTCTATTCCTTATTGTTTCAATCCACCATATTTAAGACATGTCCACGTGAAGAGAAACAGACTGAGTGGTCCATTGACACTTACTTTTAATAGCTCTTCATTAGTGACATTAGATCTTAGAGGGAATAATTTGACCGGTAATATTCCAAAATGGATTGGCATATTTTCTTCTTTAAGCGTCCTTCTTTTGAAAGATAATCATCTAGATGGTGGAATTCCAGTTCAATTATGCAAGTTGTATTCATTGAGCATCATAGATCTTTCTGGAAATATGTTTTCTGGTCTTATACCTTCTTGTTTGGGTAATTTAACTCTGGCAATGAAAGGGGAGAAGTCTTCTGTAGATGTTGTTTGGAATGGACCAAGTTCAATGAATGATCTACCAATAGACATTCCATTTTATTTATCACATGATTATCCTAGTAGCTACATGGAAGAATGGATAGAGTTTACAACAAAGGGTGTGTCCTATTCATATGGTGGTGACATTCTTGAGTACATGTCTGGGATTGATTTATCTTGTAACAGGTTAACTGGGCAAATCCCACTCGAAATGGGAAATTTAAGTGAAATCCATTCGTTAAACTTATCTCACAATAACTTGGTCGGAGTTATACCTTCATCATTTTCACAACTTAAGCAAATTGAAAGTTTGGACCTTTCTTACAACAACTTGAGTGGTAGAATCCCTATACAGTTGGTTGAGTTAAACTTTCTAGAGGTTTTCAGCGTGGCACATAACAACTTATCAGGTAGTACTCCAGAACCAAAAGCTCAGTTTGGGACCTTTAATGAAAGCAGTTACGAAGGAAACCCTCTTCTCTGTGGGCCTCCATTGCAAAATAACTGCTCAAAAACTGTGTCACCACCAATAGTACCAACTACAATAGACAATGAAGGAGAAGGTAGTTTCATGGACATATATGTTTTTTGTGTGAGCTTCCTGGTTTCATATGTAATTGTTTTCTTGGGAATTTTTGTTGTTCTATACATAAATTCATATTGGCGACAAGTATGGTTTTCTTTCATCGAGAGTTGCATCACTACTTGTCGCTACTCAGTTGTAGGCAATTTTCTTGAGTTATACATCTTCAAAAGATGTGCTTAGTTGTCATGGGAGCTCTTATGATTTGCCTTTTGTTTGAATATGGTGAAGATTTGGATGAAGTTGTTTTTTGTTATCAAAAGAAGTTTGGTGATTTGATCTTTTAAATAAGGGATTTCTTTTAGCTGACTGTTCTTCTAAGATGGTTGTAAGATGAGTTGTGGATTTGGTTACCCATATGGCTTAGAAAGAGTACTTTGATGATTTTGCACTTTCAACAGAGCTTTTTGTCTCTATCGGAACTCTGTTTTTGGTATTCATTTTGTTTTGAAGGAACTTGTTGATTTTATGTTTGTATACAAATATTCAATTCTCTATTATCCATCTTCTCCAATTTATTGCTAATATCTTTTCCAAGCTATTATTCAAGTAGTATTAGTAAGAATTTGAATTTTAAATGAAATACATCACAATAAGTCAATAATTAAGAATATATCAAAATCTTTGAAAGAGTTTCCATCATATTGTAGTAATATGAAATAGTTAAGAATGTGCTTTTTCTTTTTTTTTCTTTTATTTATCAATTTCTCATTTCTTGCCCTTTTATAGAGGTTTTATTTTTATTTAAAATTACTTAATATTTGTTGTCATTTGGAAATTAATATTAGTTTATAAAATGAGCCAAATAAGCATTAGTCGTTGAAAATATCATTTTGATCTCAAAATGCAATTATTTTCTTTGATAGGATTACAAATTATTCCAAAATAATAAAAAAAAGATTTATATATCTCACACACATGCAAATCTCATCAAATAAATAAATTAAATGCATAATCTTCCAAAGCAACAATAAACATAAGGTGTTAGCCAATGAGACCATGGCTTAGTATAGTTTTGTTAATTAATTATTTTATGATTGTACCTTTATGATGATGTAATAATTGATTATTCAATTCATTATATGAATGTAATACTTGATTGTTATTATTATAAAAAATAAAAAGAAAAAAAACTAAAATTTCTAAATTCATGCTTTGCATGGTTAATTTTATTTATAGTACTACTTTTTCATTTTTAACTTAAAATTTGTTAAATATAAAACTTTTCCATTAAATTTAGTGAAAATACATAATTTATTTATTTATTGAAAAAGAATATAATTTAAACCTACTTTACTTTATTCTTTTAAGATAATTAAAAATATTTTCAAAATTTTAACTTCGATTTATTTTTAGATAATTTTAAAAATATATTATTTCTTATTGATTTGATAATTTTGAAGTGTTTTTTTGCAAAAGTCTTATTTTAATTTTTAATGAAAATAATTTAGTAGTAGAAGAGAAGGATTAAAATGTTGTATGTGATTTGAATTTAAAAATTTTTTAATATAATATTTGAATTATAATTTTATTAATTAATATGAAGTACTATTTATTAATCACGTGTCATTATTTAAAACTTACAAGATTAAAATAGATATCAAATAAATTAATAAATTTGTAATTTAAATTATTAAAATTTTTAAAATTTCAATTTCTTAGTTTTAATATTTAACTTAAAAATCTATTTATAGATTGAAAATAAACCCCTAGAAAATTATCAAACTACCCCTCTCTTGATTTAATAAGAATTTGACACATGACTAAATTGACTATTTTACCCTCATACTAAATTATAAAAATATCTTTTTATAATTATTTACTATAATACCCATATCATAATTACAAAAATATTTTCTCTTAAATTGATTATTATGTCTTCATACCATAATTAAGAAAATAACTATTCTTATAATTATTTACTATAATGCCTTCGTACCATAATTACAAAATACCATTTTATATTAAATTACAAAATCTTATTATTGATCCAAATTACTATAATACCATCCTAACATAATTATAGAAAACTTTTTTCATAATTGATCAAAATTACTATAATACTTTTCTTACCATAATTACGAAAATGCTTTTATGAATACTTGATAAGAAGTTGACATGTGATACTTTTGTTTCAAAATTAATAACATATATTAAAACAATCCTTTGATAATTATTATAATAACCTTTTGTTTATTTGATATCGATGTGTGTTCAAATTTACTATAATACTTTTTATCATAATTACAAAATACTTATTTTTTTTATAATTAATTAAAATTATTATAATACCCTCTTACAATAATTATAAAATATCCCTCAAAGTATAATTGACTAAATTACAAAAATATCTTTCCTACAAAAATTACAAAAATACCTTACCATAATTGGCAAAAATTTACTATAATGCATCTCAATATGAAAATGCTTTTATGAGTACTTCTAAAAAGTTGACATGTGATACTTTGTTTCAAAATTA